AAAAAGAGGGGCTGGGTATGGTTGTGTCAGTGTCCTGCGAAACACAGGTCACCTGGTGCCCCCCTCGGGGGAGAGGGACCGAGGTCTGGCAGCCCAAAGGTAGGGGGGCAATCGAAGGTTTTTGATGTTTCTGAACAGCTCAGCTTTGGAGCTGCAAAGAGGAAAAGGCATTTTCTTTTCATAGCTTTCATAAGATGCTCTCTCTTCTTTGTCTGCCTTGCTGTCTCCAGCAGCCTGTGCTCTCTTTATTGCTGCTGGCTCCGTGGGGAGTGCGGGGCAGGGTGTGAGTAGTGTGTCCTTGGGTGAGTGGTTGGAGGAAAGAGCTCTTGGTCTGAGGACCTGCAAAAGAGGATCTTGCAAAATAGAGATGTGCAGATTTAGGGGAACTTTGGACATCTTGGTCTCTGGGGGCTGCTTTCTTGGGTGAGAAAAGCGGATAACCCTGCAGTCCTACGTCAGATGATGCTGGTCACCAGCCAATTCCCTGCCTTTCAGCTGCGGTTTTCTTCCCTTGTTTTTTCTGGCTGCAAAACTCTGGGATGTCATCAGCTTGGTGTCTTGTCCTCTTCCCGGGCTTCCCTACTGAATCCAAGGATATGTTTTCCACCAAAGGCACCTCCACTCAGGAGTTTGCCCTGGAGCTGAGGATTTTGTCCCTGCTGACCAGCTCTGTCTCCTCTCTTCCAGGTGTGTGCGGCTGCTGCGGCGCCCTGCGTCCCCGCTACAAAAGACTTGTCGACAACATCTTCCCTGAAGACCCAGAGGTAATCGAGGCGCTGCTTCACGCGCCGAAGCTCCGGTGCTTCACACACCGAAGCTCCGGAGCTCAGGTTGCAGGGACACGGTGTGACCTGCCCAGAAACAGCTCCTGGGAGGCGGGTGATGCTTTGACTCCATAAGACCATGCCTGGAGGGTTGGGTTTTCCTTTAAAGCCTGTTTGTAAGCAGAAATACAGAAGCAGCTCCTCCAGCTGCATCAGCCTGGAGGGACAGGCTTCCTTTCCCAAAGGTGCCGGGCAAATGCACCATCTGAGGACAGATGGATGGAATGATGGGGGACTGGACCTGAAGGCGTACATCCTTTTCTTTCCAGGATAAGGAAAGCAGCTTCTAAGAGCAGTGGTCTCTTGGGGCCTCAGCCAGGCTTTTGAGCTCAAAAGCTGCTTATGCTTCCAGGTTGCGGGGAATTTCTCCCTTGCTGAATTGGAGATGGGGGATGCCCTGCCAGCTGCTCCTGGAGCATCCCATATCTGGCCTCTTTGTCTCCTTTTCACAGCCGAGATGCGAAGGCAGTGGAAGAGGGGCTTCCAGCTGGGGGTGGCAGGGCTGGGATTACCCGGGGAGGCAGTGAGTGCCTGTTTTGTCATGGTGCTGGCAGCAAAGCTGAACGAGAGGGGAGGCTGCTGCCGCGGGGGGATGCCCTGCCAGCTGCTCCTGGAGCATCCCATATCTGGCCTCTTTGTCTCCTTTTCACAGCCGAGATGCGAAGGCAGTGGAAGAGGGGCTTCCAGCTGGGGGTGGCAGGGCTGGGATTACCCGGGGAGGCAGTGAGTGCCTGTTTTGTCATGGTGCTGGCAGCAAAGCTGAACGAGAGGGGAGGCTGCTGCCGCGCCGTGTGGAGAGGGGGGAGTTTCCACGCTGCAGGGGGTTGGGGCTGGCAGCTTGGCACATTTGTGTCGTTTGGCCTCAGCAGCCTGGAGGTGTTGATGTCCCTGTCTGCCCCGTCCACCTTGGTGCTGGGGCATTGCTAGGGGCTGGCAAACGGTTCTCGTTGTATTTAGAGCATGGGGTGCTTGATGGAGACTTGCACTGGGGTCACCCCTGCCTGTGGTGCATCAGAGAGCCCTCAGCTGAGGCTAAATGCAATCCTCATTTGCCTTCCCTGGTGTACAAGGTGTGGGGAAGTACCGAGACGGGACCGGCATGCTCCAGACCTCTGGCATCGCTGCCAAGGTTTGCTGCAGAGATGCTCCTGATGTTTGCCAGGTTTGGGTGTGAGGCTGTGACCCCCTGTGCTGCTCTCTTTCAGGATGGGCTGGTGAAGACCAACATGGAGAAGCTGACATTTTATGCCCTGTCTGCCCCGGAGAAGCTGGATCGCATCGGCGCCTACCTCTCTGAGCGGCTCATCCGAGACGTGAGCCGGCACCGATATGGGTAAGGGCTGGAAGGCTGTTTCAGACACCCCGGTGATTGGCATAACGATGGGCCACTAGATAGTAGAGGGTGCTTAGACAATGGGGAGCAGCTCCTGTGTTCTCCAAGGTGTCCTGAAGCTACAAGCACCCTACAGAGAGACCTGAGCATTTTCTGCCTCCGAAAGTGAGACATGGGAGTACGCAGGGATGTGCAAACTCCTTGCAAAGTTGCAAGGGACCAGGCAAGCTGGGAGCCATGTAGTGTTTCCCTGGCATCGTGCTGCCCGTGCTTGAGGAGTCTGTGTGTGTATGGTGTTTGGCCCCAGCAGCAGGACTGTCACCATCCCTCTGGGCCATCATCGGGAGCCTGTGGCACCCCCCTGGCCTTTAAAAGCCTACAGTGGCTCTTCCAGAGCAGATGGAAGTCTGGCTAGATGTGGGCAAGCAGCTAAACAGGGCGGCCCTGGCTGCAGCTTGCTGGGGGTTATTCAGGACCAGCTTGGGTATGTTGCACCCCATGCTAATCTCTGTTGAGCTATGGTGATGTGGCATGAGCGGGAGTAAGGGTAAGGGGCATCATGCTGACGCTTCTCCAGAGAGCACGTGATGGGGTTGCATTGGGCTGGATGGGGATTGCTGTGTTTGCTCTGTCCGGCTTACTTGCGTGGTCCTGGCTGGGCCCTGTTCCCTTCGTCTTCCCTCCCCGCATCGCTTCTAGCAAGGCTTTGCCGTGTTTACTGTGAGGAGTAAACTGCAAGGGACGTGGTTTAGTGGGCATGGTGGTCTTGGGTTGACGGTTGGACTCGATGATCTTAGAGGTCTTTTCCAACCTTTAAGATTCTATGAGAGCAGTGCCCATCTGGAAATAGCTGACTGCCCTGCTTAGAAATGCTGGGGGAGCATGGGAGGGCTCCTTCCCTTTGAAATAGCTCCTGGATTGATTCTTGTTGTCTCCTGAACAAAACCGCGGCAGACAAACACAGCTCAGCTTCGTGGTGCAAACTTCAGCCTGCCTTTTATCCTGGGGGAAAAGAAGCCAGCAGCCTGCCTAAGAAGTGTTGAAGTTGGAAAACCTTCAAAGCCTCATCCACATCACCCGTCATCAGGAGTGACAGGACATTCAAAGCTCTGCCTGATGTTCTGCAGTTAGGCGGCTGTTAACAGGCTCTGCTTGCTATGTTGGGAAAAGAAAGGCTTTCAAAGATTTTTGACATGTAACGACAAGCCTCGGCGGGTGGAGGGGGGAATATGTTCCTTCCTCCACCGCCTGTGCATATAGGCACGTAATTGGGTTGGAGCACTAGCTAATTTTCAAAGTCTAACTTTGAAATGCCTGAAACGGGTTTGGATCAACCTTCTGTCTGTAGGTCGGTGTTGGCTGGAGCAGCAGGGCTTGCCCCGCTGCAGACACCACAGCCGGGCTTTGAAAGAGCGGCCGAGCACGTGGGTGCCTCTCCTGCGTGTGAGATGAAGGTAGCTTTGATTTCAGGCCTGTAGCGTGTCATCTTTTTGTTACCTTTATTACTGAAAGGAGAAAGTGTTCTTGTTTGAGTCTGCAGCAATGCAACTCACCATCTGTAAGAGGATGGTTGGGGTAGGTCGGAGGTGACAACTCCACAAGTGTCCCTTTTCCCTCTTGGTGGCCTGTGTCCAATTGTCCCCAAAAGAGAAGCCATGCTGTTGCAATAATATTGGGCTCAGAATGTTGTTTTCAGCCTTGTTTCCTATAAGAAAGGAGCTTGATGCTTCATGCTGGTCGTCAGTCACCTCTTCATGCCTTTTTTTCCCTCTGGGCCAGTTTTAACCCAGTTGGACAGATGGATAGGAGCCTCATAGATCCAGGAATAGTTGGCTGCTTATTTTCACAGTATCTGGAAGAGCTGTAATGGTGTCTGAAGGACAGGCTGCACTGTGAGCTCAACCGCGCTACAAGACACCAGAGAATCTACCCAAGACTGGAGCCAGATTTCAACAGTTCTGGGGCCTCATGAGAAGGGATCGATCTTTCTGTGTTTTACGAGCTGGAACCTAGAAATTCAGGGTTTATCAGACACCTCCTTCTCCCCGAGAGGGCAGTTTGCCTCCCCAGCTGCCCTTCAATGTGCAGGCAGGGCTGGCGCAAGTAGATGGGCAGCTCCTGCCTGCCTCGCTGCTAGTGAGCTCGGTGCTTTCGGGTCTCCCTCTTGCAGCACAAGCTGATGGCCGCTGCATGCTACCCAGGCTGCAAGTTTAGCTGTGCAAGGAGCTGGCTCAAAAAATGGAGGTTAAAGGAGGAATTGTGCTTGATATCAAGAGATCTGGGCTTGCCACCTCCTTCTTTCGGCCATGGCAGGAGATCTGGGCTCGACGTGAGCTGCCGTGGTACAAAGATTCACAGCTGCACGGAGAGCAGGAGTCAAAGGGAGATGATAAGGAGCTGTAAAGATTGTTTTATTCCCAGTGTCCTGGTACCAGGTCCATGTCAGGTGTTTGGGTACCTCAGAGGTCCTGCAAGAAGAGCTGGAGCTGTGAGACTCGGTGCAATCACCATTTGGGTTTTTTCTGTGTTTTGGGCAACTCCAGCTGGAATAAATGTCTGCTCACAGCAGTTGGAGGTTGGGATTTGCTTCTCTGCTGGGCTTTGTGCACACAGTGGGCGACCAGCAACTGGAGGTCAGTGTGGTCATTGCACAAGCAGCCTGTGCAGGGGCTCCGGCCACCACCTTGGAAACGAACCAGATGCTGTTGGTGCAGAAAGCGTCACAGGACCAGCCTGCGAACAGGCTTCGCCAGAGCCATTCCGAGCAACTGGTCCAATTTGTCTTGGAAACACGAAGCACCACCTGACAAATTCTGCAATTGCAGTATAAGCATCTGGCCACCTCTGTAATGGGCACCCGATCGAGATTCATCGCTGGGCATGAGGTCTTCCAGCTTCTTCTCAGAGGCAGGAGCATCGCAGGACTGGTTTAATAAATAGCCTGGAAGATGTGCCTTAGCAGCTTGCAGCAAAGCCAGCTGCCAGAGCGTGGTCTGTGGGTGAGCTCAGCCTGGTCGGGAGGGCTGGTGAAGTGATGTGTTGTGCTCAGGGAGGCCCCCTGCATGGCCCAAGGACCTGTCATGGGTGCGTCCCGTCTTGCTGCTGTATTTGAACCATGTTCTGGGCTTCCCCTGTCCCCGTTCAGCACGCAGAGCCAGGACTGAGTGACTGAGCCCCATTCCCGGAGGAGGGATGGGGACCATGGTAATCCTGGTGTGGGCAGTGCTGCATCCTGATCTGTGCACTGCTGGAGGAAACCCCGCTCACCCCAGGAACTTCTGGGGTCGCATGAATATGCTTTGCAGGGTTGCTTTATTGTGTATTTAAGCACAGCTTTTCTGGTGCACATCAGTCTAATTCTGTGTTCTCGTCCTGTCCCTCCTCCCTGGCCAGGACCAGCTGGGTCTGCAAGAAAGGCTGCATTTGACACTGAGCCCACCCTGTACTTTGTATCACGGGATATAAAGACCAGCTCAGGGCAAGGGAAGCCCACAGGCAGTGTGGGGGGAGATGCAAGGTGTTGCTGGCAGCCTTGGTCCTGGGGCAGCTGGGTCTTCCTTAGGAGGAGAGATGCTGGGAGCAGCCAACACCATCTAAAAATATCCCAAGGGTATTTTGGGTGTAAAATTTTTCTCCTTGGGATGGTCAGGGCAGGAGGTTGGTGTTTTGCTGGTGGGAGAGGGGAGGAGGAGGGATGGCCGCAAGCCCATGCTGCTGTTGGGGAGTGACCCTGGTCTCTGCCTGCTCCCAGGTACGTGTGCATTGCCATGGAGGCCCTGGACCAGCTCCTCATGGCCTGCCACTGCCAGAGCATCAACCTTTTCGTGGAGAGCTTCCTGAAGATGGTGGCAAAGCTGCTGGAGTCGGAGAAGCCCAACCTGCAGATCCTGGGGACCAACTCGGTGAGTAGGAGTGCAGCGGGAGGTGACAGCACCCTGCTGACCACCCTGCCTGTCACTGTCACAGTGCCAAGACAGGAAACCTTGTTGGGAAAGGGGAGCTGCTGCAGGGGAGGATTTATGGTGTCCCCTCTCATGTGTCCTGCCACGCGTGAGGTTTCTGAGACCCCAGCTGTGCTGCCTGTGCACTGTCCCTGCTATTTGCTGTCTGTGATCAGTCACTGCTCTCTGATCTCTGCTGCCATGCCTTTCCTCTCTTGAATTCAGCTTTTCCTAAAGGAGCCCGAGGACATGGGGGCTGTCAGCAGTTTCAGACAATAGACTAACTTAGGAGGTGATCCCCATGGATTTTGGGAGCTCTTTGTGCTCAGAAAAGGGCTGGCTTAAACAGAGCTGCTGCTTGCAATAAATGGCTTAACTGGACTGGGGATGTGTCGGTCACAGACATAAAATGAGGGGAAAGGAGAAGCATGGATGAAAAAAAGTGACGTCCTCCCAGCATCCAAACTGCTGATCCTAGCTGGCAACCAGCAGCCACTTGTGCATGGCCTTTCTGCTGGTTTTTACTGGGAACGCTGGGTGTACCTGACAGCCAGGCTTGCGAGGGCTCTGCCAGCGCCCAGTAGCTTGGCTTGGACAAGCAGCATCTGTCCTTGCTGCTTTTTAAGAGGGGATTTAGATGGAGCTGATCATCTTGTGGGCAGGAGAGCGGACTGGGTAGATGCTCTCTCGAGTGCCTGGGAAACGCATAGCCAGCTCAGCCCTAAGCTTTAATTCTCTGCCGTGTGTGATGGGGAGAGGGATGGTATTAATGTTTCTGCTGACGCCTCCCGGACAGGGTAGCACTGCATCCTGCAACGCTTCTCTCTTCCAGGAGCCGGCACGGTCCCGGACATGGGGTTGTAAATGCCTCTGCTGAGGCATGGGCAGCTGAGCAGAGACCTTTCATGCCCCATTCTCCCTCGCAGCTAATTGCTCCCAGCTGAAAGTGATGTGAGCTGCCCATTGGTAAACCTATTAATCCACAGCCCTTGCAGAAGTGGGAGGATTGATCCCTCGGTTGAAACCGGCTGCCCGCTGCCGACAATAGCTTACCGTGGCGTTTCGGTTGTGATGCCACCGTAAGCCCTGGGTTATTCTGCAGGGGCTGCCTGGGAAAGCCCCTTGTAGTGGGAGTCTCCAGGCAGCACCCACATCCCTCTGCCCAAGGGTGGCCCAAGCTCCATGGGAGACCAGAGAGGTACCACTTGCTGTCCAAACCTCTTGAGAGATATGCCGGAGCAACCTGGATCCAGCCCAGTGGCAAGCAACGGGTCTCTTGCTAAGAAAACACCCTATGTTGCAGCACAACTCTGCCTGCAAATGCACGCAGTATTCCCTTGCCCAGCCCCTGAGCTGTTTGGGAAACGCAGGCGTTGCTCCAGGGTCCAGAGGGACCTGGGGTAGAGGTAAGGTTTAAAGCTCAACTCAGCCAGCGTCTCCCTATCTGTGGCTGCTCTCTGGACACTCTCCAGGTCCTTGGATGGTGCCCAAGCAGAGCCCTGCATCAGAGGGGCCACCGGCAGGTGACATGGAGCTGCACTTCAACAGGAGCTGCTGGCATGGAGCCGGGGAGGGGACAGCCCTCACTGCAGGGGCTCACAATGCCACGGCAGAGGCTTCAGCAAACTGGCCCCAACACAGACGTCCTCGAGCGGGAGGCATTGGGCCAAGGCAAGACGGAGCCCCGCCTCGTGTTTCCTGCCCGTGCAGAGCAAACCTCCCATATTCAGGCACCCATGGAGAGGAGAGATGGTCCTGGACACCTAAGGGGTTTCCTTAGCACTGCTGTCACTGCGGTCAGGAATCGGTAGCGGGTGAGGAGTCCAGATGAGGAATGATGGTTTAGTGATGCTTTTTTTTTTGCCATCTCGAGCGTGGCAGCATTCAAAGGGCAAATAGCACAGAAAACTTGTGGGCTTTTATAGAAAAGTGAGTAATGATAATGGGACACTTCTTCCTATATCTGCTAATGAGGGATGTGCCTCAGGCTTGTGCTTAATTAGAGGGTGCTGTCTCAAGCAATCTTCACAATAACGGAGCTGATGGCAAAGGCGGGGGGAGGTTGTTTATAGAAACCTGCTCCAAGTGAGTCATTCTCCGCGGCATGAAATCTCGCCTGAAACACGTCTCCCTCCTCACGCAGAGCCAAGGTGTTGCGCTGCGGAGGGGCTGATCCCAGGGACCAGCCTGCCAGGCTCCACGGCCGCAGCACTGGAGGCAGCAGTGAAAATCCAGCATCCTGTGATCACTATAACCCCATCCTATAATCCCTGGGGTGAACATATGGAGCTGCAGCTTAAATCCACTTTGGTTTCTCATCCTCGTTAGGAGGCTGCTGGGCAACCTCCCCGCTTTGGGTAGGAACCATCTAATTTCCAGCTCGATGTCATTCCCATTTTTTTTTTTTCCTCGAACCAACATTGATCTTTCATTTAAACAGCTCTTCCCCCGCCTTGATGTTCCTCTTCTGATGTATTTATGTCTGATGTATTTATAGGTAGCAGTGTTATCCCTTCCCAGCCGTTGTTTTGCTTCTCTAAGGCAGCCACGCTCCTCGCATTTCCCCTGCGCTTGCTCCCTGCTCGTCCTAGCTGTGTTTGATTTGGAGCTTGTCAGCTTCAAGCATGGGAGCCCTAAGCTGCCCAGCCCCACACCCCTTCAAACCACAGCAGAAATAGCGTTGCATTTCAATGTTTTAAACTGTTTTCTCAGTGGAAATACAGTGTGAAGCTGCAGAGCAGCTTTTCGGCTGGGATGTGGTGCCCATTAATGAAAATAAGTCGCTTTCCCTGAAGATTTGATGCCTCCTTTCCTGCCGACCCAGCTCTCGCTGGGTCATTTCCATGTGTCCTGGTGCTGCTTTTTGCCACTGGGCAGTGGGACTGGGGTGGGCATCTCTCGTAATTGCTGCATGGTAGAGCACTCTTGTGGGGCAGCCAGGTCTTGGAAAAATGCAGTAGTCTATGAGCAAGTGGCAGAGTCCTAAAAATGTCCCGTTGACAGAGCAAGGAGACTTTGAGGCTGATTTTTCTCTGTTCTTGGCTGCTTTTTACAAGTTCTGGCCCTGCCGGAGACTGCAGGCTGAAAATGGATACAGAGAGAGCAGCTGCCTCCAGCTGTTGGCAGATGTGAACAGTGTCACCAGGCGTAGTGGCACCACGCAGGGATGTCTGTCCCGCGAGGACAGGGGTGGGCAGGGCTCGCTATGCCTGGCAGCCGGCCGGGGAAGCTGCCCTCGGAGCAGGGAGCTGAACCGTGGGCGCTGCTGGCGTGGATGGGTGGGCTGGCAATCCCCGGTGCCTCGACAGCTTCAGAATAAGGAGCGCTGATGAGGTGGTCCTGTTTGGTTGCCTGATGGCATGAAACGAGCTGCCGTCCTCCGTGTGGGTGTGGGGTTGATACCTGCAGATACTGGCTGCAGAGAAGCCGTTTCCTTCCTTTATATCATGACGCTTCTTGGCCACGGGACGCTTGGGATGGCTCTCCCGGAGCTGCGAGCCCTGTTACTGCTCCTCACTCTGCATCCTGCCCTCGCCTCCGGTTGCACGTGGAGTTGCCATGAGCTTAAAAAACCCACTTTGTGCGCTGCCTGGTACAGAGGTTTCTTATATAACAGCCCTGCATTTTTCTGGTGAGTAAGAGGAGTTTATCAGTTGGAGTCAGTCCCTGCTCTCTGGGAACAGTTCTTGGCGGGGCTGAGCCGGCTCCTTCGCTTGCGCAGAGCCAGTCTTTGTGGCTGATGTTATTAATAGCCCAGTGCAGCGGGTGCATGTTAATCAGCGCCTGTGTAATGTGCTGGGACGGGCAGGCTGGCTTTGCCAGCTGTGGAGGGACACTGGTGGGCTGTTTGCCTGCTGCTCTCCTGGCAGGGCTGGATGCCAGCAAATGCAGAAAGCAGAAAGTGAGAAAAGCCTGCTGATAGAGTTGGGGTAAAGAAGGAACTCCCGTGCAGCATGGCATCTTCAGAGGGAGCTGAGCACCCTAAGAAATGCTGGGTGGACAGGTAACCCTTTGGAGGTAGGTTAAGTCCTCCCAGCTGGAAGAGGAACCCAGCAGTCCTGATGCCTTGGCCCAGGACAGCTTGCCCGAGTGATGTGGGGTTGCTCTGTGTGACTGCAGAGCTTTGTGCCACGCTGTCATAAGCAATGGGGCCGCACCGGCATCGGCACTGCGCTGTGGTGCAGCATCTCGGTCTGGTAGAAGCACATCTTGCTTATGGTGTGAGCGGGTGTCCGTAGCAGGAGATGTCTTCCTCGGAGGAGCGGTAGGTGTGTGCAGCTGAATCCTCTGCCTCTGCTGTCGGGTCAGGGCTGAGATCTTTCCCAAGGGCTCCTTTGTATATCTTGGCTGATTTCCAAGCCTGGAAGAGAGCATTTCTAGCGAGCAGCTTCCAAGATTGAGTGCATGGGCATCGTTGCTCTCCCAGTGTTGCTGGGCAGCGGTCCACAGCTGGGGTGGTTTGGGGGATTGCTTGGACAGGGAACGTCCTCTCCCTTCATCGCGCGCCCATGCAAACGGCCTCAGCTTTCCCAGCGTGCTGAAGCGGATGCAGCATGGGAGCACAAAAGTCGCCAGCAGATTTCTCTGCCTAAAATCTTGCTTATGCCCTTGGTCTGAGTGGGAGGATAAAGCACGGGGACTTGGTGGCACGATGCTTGTCCCAGGCAAAGGGTAAACCTCGTCTGTTCACAGCACCAGCTGTTGTTGGGTGGAGATGGGCTGAATGCTCTGTGTGTTCCAGCCAGGAGCTGATGCCTTGGATTTTGTGGCAGCTCTTGTGCTATTGAGGTTTTATTTTTCCTTCTTTAAAGCTACCCCTTTCAGCATGATTGGATGAGTTGAGGTTCCCCGTTCCTGCCCAACCCTTTGTTCCCATCTTTTCATGAATAAGTTTTGGAATTCAGAGAAAAGCTTGAAAACATGTTTATCCTTTCTTCCTCCTTAATTCTCTCTCTGAAAGCTTAACAGCCAGATCTGTTGGTCAGCTGGCATTTCTGGCAAGCTCCGTGCCTCTTGGCACGGCCACACTGGAAGGGAGTGATGGTACCTCGTGCTGCCGGGTGCTGCGGGCGAGATCTGGGATGTGGTTAAGAACCTGCTTGCAGTTGGTTTCTCCACTGGCATTTCCAAGGCTGTTCTCACCCCTGCAGCAGCATTTGGGAAATGTTGGCCAGGTTTTGTGCCATCTGGGAGGATGGAAAGAAGCTCGGGGCAAATTTATCTCCTGTTACTAGCGTGTGCTGCATACTCGGAGCCTCGTTGAACCCCTAAATGCCCTTTTCAGGGACCACTGGGGCTTGCTGTGAGGTTTGCAGCATCCACAGCCGGCCCTGGGTGCTGCGGAGCTCGGTGGGACAGTGTGATGGCATGTTCCTGCTTGGGCACCGTGTGTCCTGGGCGCAGCTGGGCAGCCTGACTTGTCATCCCAAGCACGTGCCGAGCTGCTGTAGTGAAGAGCCCTGTGTCACACTGCTGAAGCCCACAAATGTTTGATGGTTTGGAGAGGAATTTTAGGAATATTTTTGTTGTCATGCCCGCTGGGCTGATCCCTTCTTTCTTCTCTCACAGTTCGTGAAGTTTGCCAACATCGAAGAGGACACCCCATCTTATCACCGCAGCTACGACTTCTTTGTCTCACGCTTCAGTGAGATGTGCCACTCCAGCCACGATGACCTGGACATCCGGACGAAGTGAGTTCTGCGAACGGGGTGTCCCTGGCCTCGTTGGCTCTGTGAACACGTCCTGGGGGGTTTCCCAGTGCCCCCAGCCTCTGCCTTTCCTGGAGAAGCGCCTGCTTTTGGGAACAGGTTGGATGCAGGCTGCACGGACCGATTGCTTTGTGCTGTGATGGAGACGCACAGTGATGCCCCAGAGCTGGGTGCACTCAGGCTGCTGTTCTCTACCCTCCCGTATTTTCCAAGCATTAAACCCTGCTGACTTTATGGGAGGATGAAACAGGAGCCTAGAAAACACAGTGCAGCACGTATCCAGCCTCTGTTGCTGTGTGGGATGTTGTGTGCAGTATTACATGTCTGTGAGAGAAGTTGGTTTGCATTTGCTCTCCTGACAGCAGGGCAGATGTGCTTGCTCTGAACATGGCTGATGGCAGGACAAGGGACAAACGTGCCCTCGGGCTTCCAACTTCTTTGGGCAAAATGTGAGCAGGTAACACCTGCAGTCTGCTCAACACAGGGCTGCCTCAGTGCGTCTTTAAGCATTTCTCACCTTTGCTCCAGGCCCACAGCCTGCAGACAGCTGGAGCTCAGAGCAGGAAGCAAGGAGGTGATCCTGGCCCCGAAAGGAAGGATGATGACGATGGGAAGAGGCCCCCCACTCTTAGCAGAATGAATGTTCACTCAAAATCTGCCTCCTGCAGCCGTGTGGTCCGTTATTTTCCACGTTTAAAGGCAGTTACATCTCTCTAGACAGCATTGAAGACTGACTTGCTTTGCTGTGATGGGAAATGTAACCCGGGGGGATTAATTACGACTAAAGCAGACAGATTAATGTTGTTTACTGCTGCCAAAGCCAGGCCTGTCGGTGGTGTATTTAAAAAGACCTGGCGCTTGAAATGGCCCTGTGAGGCACCGATGGTGTGGCCCCTGTGGGTCTCGCCAGGAAGCTCTGGGCAGGAGGCCACTGCTGCCAGAGACAAGTTTTAAGTAAAGCCCAGATGTCAGGAGGCATTTCAGCACATCGTGTTGGTGCTGTTCCCGGAGATGCTGTAGCAGCAGGGACCGGTTGCCTTGCAGAGGGGCGAACCCCTGAGCTTAGCCACTTCTCATGGAGGCGTATCTCCAAGGACCAGGCTCGCCTCCTTTTACTGCTGCAAACTCACTGGTGTTTTGTTTTTTTTTCCTTAATAAGGAAATAATGCAGAAAGCTCATTATTTCCACTTGACCTTCAGGGCACCGATGATGCTGGCTAAATTGCATTGGAGACTGGAAGAGAGAAATTTGGCAGCTCCTGTAATTAAAAAGGAGCACGCTGTTTTCCTGGGGCCTTGGTCCTGCTCGACACTCCTCCCTCAAGAATTGTGTCTCAGTCAGATTATTGCCTTGATTAGATCTGCAAAATGTGTTAGGGAGACCTCAGAGCAGGTTATTTAATGCATTTATTTCTGCAGATAAGCACGTGCTGTCTTTCTCAGGCATTAGCAGTGGGAGTTGAGGGGCTGGTTTCAGACCTAGGAATCCTGCTGTGTAGGGAGATTTTTTATTGATGACTTTATTGTTGACTAGAGCAGAGTCAGGATCTTTGGTCCCAGAAAGGACACAGGTGTCAAAAAGCACGTAGGTTTCCCTAGCATCCAGCATCCCCATGGGCACAGCACGGCTCTGCAGCTGCTGGGAATGGAGGAAATGGGAAAACCCTGCATGCATGCCGCAGCTGGAGAGCGGAGACTTCCCAGGTCCAAAATCAGGCCAAGCTCTCTGGTGCCACCTCTCCATCTCGGGTAGTGCGTGCTGTGGAGATGGGTGGCTGCTGCTTGCCTGGGGGCCTCCCGGGAAAGACAGTGGATGGAAGCCGGCTGCTGCTGCCAGGATGAATTTAGCTGGTTCAGAGCCTTTCCCGCCTGCGTCTGTCGGGCTGTGGGAAACCATGTCTCTCGGGAATGCAAGGCAGAATGATTGCCCTGGGGCATACCAGGCCTGGAGCTGGGTACTGGGGCATCGCCTGCATGAACCCCTCCAGCAGCACAGATATCAGTGTCTTCTCTCCAAACTTCTTGCACAGTTTCACCCGTGTATATATGTGTATATAAATAACGTATGGTATACACATATGTAGCATTTTGGTGTCAATTTGTTTCCCAGGATCCGGATGTCTGGCATTAAAGGCCTGCAAGGGGTGGTGAGGAAGACAGTGAATGACGAGCTCCAAGCCAACATCTGGGACCCGCAGCACATGGACAAAATCGTGCCCTCGCTGCTCTTCAACTTACAGCACGTGGAGGAGGCCGAAAGGTGAGTGTTTGCTCGCTCCGCCAGCGCCTTCGGGGCCCCGGGGCTGCTTTTGGCAAGGTTTTGCAGGACAGAGGTGTTGCAGGCTGATCTGTGTCTGCAGCTCATGAAAAATGCAGTGAGTGGCCAGAGGGGAAACCCTGCGAGTACCTCACTGAAGGATGCCGGAGGTGGCAGGAGCTCTGTGTGTCACTCGGTACCGTGAAGGTTATTGCTGTCTTGGCCACTGCAGGGCACCGTGAATCCCGTGGAGCAGAGCTCTCTGCACTGTCCCTGCAGTTAAGGCACGCTGTTTGCAAGGGCTCTGAGCTGCCTGTTCAGTGGGCTGACATCTGTGAGGGATTCCTGCTTAAATGCTACCGAAGCAGTTATTTTAAAGCCAGGCAAGAGGAATCTCAGGAACTGAAATATGGCTTTGCTCGCTAACCCTCCATTCTTGCAGCGTAACCCCCCTCCGGCTGCGTGCTTGCCACCAGCGGGGTGCTTGAAGGGGAGTTGCTTAGCTGAGAAGTGCAGAGCAGAGAAGCAGGCATGAATTCCTCCTGGGATTTTTCTTTTGAAGGTTAGGAGAGATGTATCAGCCCTGGGAAGCTGGCTTCTGGCCAGATGCCTTTTCACTTTTCTTGTAAACTGAAGCATCAAGGTGGAAAAAGCATTTGTGGTGTTTGTGTGATGCCGAACAGCCCCCGTGTGGAAAAAGGGGATGGATCTCCTCTGGGGTGTGCATGTTCAGGGTGACTTGTGCCAAACCGTGACTGCTTTGCTCTTCCTCCCCCAGGAGGCTGTGTCCGCCTTGGGAGGACGTTATGTCCTGCATCCTCACCGATAAGATCCTTCCCCCTCCAACACTAAGCACCGGAATCCTCCTCCCAGACCCAGGGACGCGGGGGCTGTCCCTGCTGCCTGGCACAGCCTGGCGCTGCGAGTGGGGCCGTCCTGGCACGTCCCCTTCCTTTGCAATCCGTGCACCCATGCTGCTCTCTGATCTGGCTCAAATCCAGCAGCGCCTGGGCTCTGGGATGGAGCTACCCCGTCTGCCTGGCAGCGTGACATTTGGCTGCTGCGGGGTGGCTGTGGGCTGTGCGAGGGGTAGCCCATGGCCCACAGGGTGCGGGCAGATGCCACGACCATTTTGCTCCAACCTTTCCTGGCTGGGCTCTGTGCCTCTTCTCCCCTACTGCTGCCGCACACTCAGCGCCGCTCTTATCGCCCTCCTCTGCTTTCGCAGCCGCTCCCCCTCCCCGCTGCAAGCCACCGAGAAGGAGAAGGAGAGTCCTACGGAGCTGGCGGAGAGGTGTCTGCGGGAGCTGCTGGGCCGAGCGGCATACGGCAACATCAAGAACGCTATCAAACCCGTCCTTATGTAAGTCGTGCATCCTTCATTTTTGGCACAGGGGAAACTGAGGCACGAGGAAACAGCCAATGCGGGCCAGAGCTGGGGCGAAGGCATGGTCTCCTCTGGCTCCCCTCGACATGGTACTGGAGATGGGGACTGGGTTTCAGGCTGAGCTCTCATTTTTGGATGCAATGAGGAAGATGGCATGGGATAGATATCTGTTGCTGAGAAAAGTCACCCTGGAGAGGAGTTTGTGTCCCTGCCCTGGCCTGCAGTGTTTGCTCCCTGCTGCTTCTGGCCATCCCTGGTGCTTGGTGCTGCTTTGCACCCCTGCAGGGTTTGGGGGACTGACAGTTACTTTCCCCTCCGTTTCCATCTCTTCCCCAGCCACCTGGATAACCACTCGCTCTGGGAGCCGAAGATCTTTGCCACCTGCTGCTTCAGGATCATCATGTACTCGATCCAGGTGGGGAGCTGGTGGGACTTGGGCCGGCGGCACCGGTTGGGGACGCACGTGCATGCTTGGGAGCGCCCGCGTCTGCCTCCACGGCTGTGCTGAGTTAGTGCCGCCATCGCATTGCTGCATCCCGGCAGTGCCGAGTCCGAGCGCTCGCAATGAGCTCGACCTCCGAGCATGCCCCAAAACAGGTCCGGGTGTACAGCAGTGTGGGCTGGGGGGCCCGTGGGTCTGTGGGGAAATGGCTGATAGGTGTTAGTTAGCCTGGCTGCGTGCCAGCCGTGCGTGTTTTAGCATGCTGCTCATGGAGCTTGTATCTCAGTCCCAGGAGTGATTCCCTCCCTCTCAGCGGAAAGCAAAGCCCTGCTGAATCAGACGGGCTAGCGGCGTGCTGTGAAACACTCCAAAGGAAGCAGTTGGGCTCCAATGGAAAGCTGCCTCTTTCCCGGTCGCTGCCATGTAAATCAACCCAAGTTCCTCATTCCTGCAGAAAAGGAGAGGGGCTGTGTGGGGTGAAATGTGCCCTCGGCAAACCAGGCATCGTGACAGTGCCTGCAGCCCAGCATCCCCATCCTTAGACATGGGGATGCTCAGAGACAGACCCTGCTAGGCTCTTCCCTTCTCCCTGGGGGCCATGGAAAGTTTAGGTAAACCCCAAAGTGATGGGAAAAGGTCCATCCTTTCTTTTTCCATGTGGATCTCAATGAAACTCTGCGTGAGTCCCTGTATGCTGTTGGGCATGGTGCTGCCTTCCCACCCGGCTCCCACTCTGCTGGGGCTGTCCCAGACCTGCTGCCCCACTTCTCCCCTTTGGGAGTTTGCTTTGCTTTTGGACTCAGCAAAGCTATGGCTCTGCTTGGAGAACTCTTACACTGAAAAGCAGATCGCCACCCCCTGCTCTCGTTTCTGGTTTTTAATCCTGTAAACTGCCTAAAAGCCTTTACAGTGCTACTAGATTTTATAAAATCCTGTTAATGCGTATTGGAGGTGTAAGGTCATAATAACTCAGCAGGACCCTTTTGAAGTATAAACGTGTTTGGGAAACCCTGGCAAAAATCACATCCCTTCTCCCTGAAATCCCCAGGATTAATTGTCACCATTTCCTTAGATCTGTACAGCTCTTTAGATCATTTTCCCCGTGCAAATTGCTCCAAGCTCTTGCTCAGTCATGTAAAACAGGCTTCCCCCAGGTGCCCCCTCTCATTTTGCATCCGGAGCTGTCTTGGAAAGAGCCGGACAGGGACTCGGTACAGCTGGGCACACGTGCAGGATTTGTCCCTGGTAGCCGTGTGGGTTACAGAAACGGACTGTCACCTCATGCATGCAGCACCCGCGCTGATGTTTATTCATGCTCTCTTTCCAGCCGCAGCACTCCCATCTCGTGATCCAGCAGCTCCTGGGGCACCTGGATGCCAATAGCAAGAGCGCGGCCACCGTGCGCGCGGGCATCGTGGAGGTCCTCTCGGAGGCAGCGGTGATCGCAGCCTCCGGATCTGTTGGTAAGCAGATAAATTTATCCTCTCCATCCATCTCTTCAGCCTTTTATTGCGGTGGGAGCGGTGAAGAGGTGCCAGAAGTTTGGGCTGGGCACTGGTGTGTACCCAAGTGTGAGCTGGTGATGGGGGATCCAGGCTGGAGCATCCAGGGGTGCTGGGGATCTGTTCTGTGCCATTTCAGTGCTCCCAAGCGCAACGTCCATGCCCACGTGCAGCGACCTAAACCTAGAGGACTGAATGCAACGCCTGCCTTTGCCTTCGTGGCAGGAGGCATAGGGATTTTCAGGGGCTTGCTGTGAATACACTGAGCTGACGGTGCTCCTGGAAGGATATTTCTCTCCTGTCTTGACTGGCAGAGCTGGTGGGAGTTAAAAGTCACTGTGTGCCTGGCCAAACTGTTTTTCAACCTGTTTATGGGGTCGTGGGAGGTATAAACCACATTGTCCTGGGGGAAACAGCTTCCATCTCTGTGGTGAAAACTGCCGCTCTCTTCTGGCGATGCTCCACCGTCTCTCCCCTCTGACCACCCCAGGCCCCACGGTGCTGGAGGTGTTTAACACCCTGCTGAGGCAGCTGCGGCTCAGCATTGACTACGCGCTGACGGGGAGCTACGACTGCGCCGCTGGCGTCAGCACCAAGATCATCAAGGAGCACGAGGAGAGGATGTTCCAGGAGGCCGTCATTAAAACCATAGGTGGGGTGTCCCGCGGTGCCCGGCGCAGGTGCGGGCTGCACTGACGGGTGACCCCCTGCGTGGTGGGTTTCTGCCTTGTGCATCTGCAGGATTATTTGGGGTGAAATAAAGTCACCCTCATCCTAAAAGCGGTGATGGGAAATGAGATTTATCTGTTGCGGCGTGCTGCAAGCGTGGCGGCGGGTTATCAGCAGGTGGCATTGCAACCCCAGCCATCCCCGGCAGGGCTGCTGTGTGCAGGCAGAGTCGTGTTTCTCCCTGGGTACGAGACCCTGAGGAAGGGAAGGAG